TTATTTGTTTTTCCTTTTGATACAAGCAATAGTAAGAGGCGAAAAACAAATCTAAGACATCATAGGTAAAAATAATTATTTTCGGCAACTTGGATTACAAGACTTTGACAATGCTTTAAACTTGGAATTACTATAAGTTAGCTATATATTATTGACCCAAAACTCGCTTTGACTACAAATTAGTTATAGAAGAGACGACCCAAGTCGGCAAGTCCTGGAAGTCCCCACCAGACCCTAGCGAAAGGGGTTTCTTTGGAAACGGATGTATCTGGAGGGTTTAGGGTCTGGATTCAATGTCTTGATTTGTTTTGGCAATTTCTAATTTGACCCGGCCGTTTCCCCCACTCTGTCATCATCTACATTCTTAAACTAATGCATTTTTTATTTTCTTAAACTATATAGTGTACTTTTTTTTTCAACTAATTATCTCACTTCAACATTTCACTATTTCAATTAAAATCAATGAATCATCCCATGCAAGTTTTGTTGGAGAACAATTCAGAAACAAAAAATGACAGAAATACAGAACTTGAACTACTTATACTTTATTACTGAAATATACTTGCGATACAGAATGAAATAACAAAATAAATACAGAAAATAAAATAATACTAACTTGATTGAATCAAAGGTGGAGGCTAGCGCAATAGTTATGTCCTTCGAACAGTATTTCTGTCCCACTCTTGTGCTTGTAGTTCTACAATGTCTGCTCGACCAGGACACAACTACCTAATTCTACAACCCGCATAGGATTATAAAATTCTAGCGAATTGTTTTGTGTGTTTACTCTCTGGAAATTTTGTACAGAAGGAAAAGAGGAAGAAAAGACGATCCTACTTGGAAACTATGATTGCAAATATATAGGTTGTTTCACACCTTTTCAAATACATGTTCAGCGTATTTGAAAATACACAACTCTTTCTAAGAGCAGTGTCTTTTAATCAAAACGTTTTTTAATTAACTTAATCTGAATTTAAAATTAATGAATTTGATTAATTTTAAATTCCAAGGCCCTAAGTGCCCCAAGGCCCAAGGCCCTTGTCTTGATTAATTAATATTAATTGTATTAGGCTATATTATACAAACCTAATCCACACAACTATAAAGCTCAAGTCTTCAATCCTCTTTCAAATGGTCCAAATCCTAACTATTAGTATAAAGGACTAGACCTATATATAGGCCATTGAGAATTCAATGTTTCCCAATGTGGGACAATAAGAGTCTCAAAACTCCTACAATACCCCACATTTTGAGACAACTATTTGGTCCTAGAGAAGCTAAGATATGAGAGTAAACAATAGATATGACATACATCAGGAGATGTGTTTTTTGGACTTGAACCTACCTTAGTATATACTTATTGGATTTACCAGATGACGCAGGGAATATAAAATCTTGACATGTTCATCTCCGCAGTAAACCAAGACAATAAGCAAAACATATGCCACACCAACACATCATGAATTCATACGTTTGTGTTCTTTTTGATCCTGAACAAATCCTGGATTCATGAGAGCTTTTAGAGAATGTAGCCATGTAATTCCATAAATGCGACCCCACATTTACTCTTATATAGGTGATATTGATTACGAATAGGCTGCTACTATTTCACTTGATTTACAAATATCAATATCATTAAACTAAAGTATCCTACACACATCAGTAGTCACCGCATTTCTTCCATCATAGGAATGGATATGTAAGTGTGTTTTTTCTTTGAATCTAGCCAAACCAGTTTGCCTATTGAACCTAAACCATGAGATCTCCAATCAGCTAGGTTAGGTTTCCGTTTGGCAGTTGACTCCTTGATGTATGCTTAACTTGCTCTCTAGACAAACCTTTAGTAAGCAAATCCGCAATATTATCCTTTGACTTAACATAGTCAATAGAAATTACACCACTAGAGAGCTATTGCTTTATTGTATTATGCCTTTGTCTAATTTGTCTAGACTTCCCATTGTATACAATATTTTTAGCTCGATATTATGCAACTAAACTATCACAGTGTATACATATTGCCGTTACAGGTTTAGGCCATATGGGAACATCTTCCAAAAATCTCTTAGTCACTCAACTTTTTCTCCAACCTTATCGAGAGCTATAAATTCTGATTCCATTGTTGACCGGGTTGTGCACATTTGTTTGGAAGATTTCCAAGATATTGTTGCTCCTCCCAAAGCAAACACATATCCACTTGCGGATTTCGTATTAGTATTATCAGATATCTAATTCACATCAGTAAATCCTTAAAGCACAGGAGGATACCTCGTATAATGCAATCCAAAATTCATTGCATGCTTTAAGTATCTTAATACTCGAATTAAAGCTTCCTAATGATCATGCCCAGGATAGTATGTATATTTACTTAGTCTACTCATTGAGTATGCTATATCAGGTCTTGTACAATTCATAATGTACATAAGGCTTCCAATAACTTGTGAATATTCACGTTAAGATATAGCATCACCACTATTTTTCTTTAGTTTGCCATTGGCATCAAAAGGCGTAATTGCATCTTTACTTTCCAAATGACCATACTTTCTAAGTGTAGCTTCTATATAATGGGATTGTGTGAGAGTATAACCTTCTTGGTTTCTTTTGATTTTTATACCTAGAATCACATCAACTAGACCAAGATGATGTGATCTCGAAACTTGATTTCCATATCTTCTTGGTCCAATTTATTATCTCTTTGTTAGTTCCCATTATAAGCATATCATCTACATATAAACACAACATAACGCAAGCATTATTTTGAGTTTTTGTGTAGACACACTTATCACACTCATTTATCTTAAAACCATGTGTGATCATAATATGGTCAAATTTTTCATGCCATTGCTTTGGAGCTTGTTTAAGCCCATATAACGATTTCACAAGTTTACAAACTTTGTGTTCTTGACCTTTAAGCACAAACCCCTTAGGTTTTTCCATATATATATATTTCCTCATCTAAGTCTTCATTTAAGAACGTAGTCTTTACATCCATTTGATGTATTTCCACGTTATGGAGTGCAGCTATGGCAATCAACAGTCTTATTGACATAATTCTCGTTACAGGCGAGTATGTATCAAAGAAATCCAAACCATGTTTTTGACGGTATCCATTAGCTACCAAACGAGCCTTATATTTGTCAATTGTACCAACTAGTTTTAATTTCTTCTTAAAGATCAATTTGTACCCAATTGGCTTATTGCCAGGGGGCAAATCGACTAATTCCCATGTATGATTTTGCATAATGGAATCCGCCTCATTGTTAACTGCATCCTTCCAAAATGGAGCTTCTGAAGTGGACATGGCCTCCTTGAATGATTGAGGTTCTGTCTCAGTTAATAAGGTCACAAAATCAGGCACAAAGTCCTTTCGAATTTTTGTCCTTTTACTCCTTATAGGTTCAAGTTCTTATTCTTCTTGAACTCTAGACGAGGATGAACCATCATTATGTTCTCTAGGTTTGTCATTAACCTCAGATACATCATCATGTAATCTCTTTTTCAAGAAATTAGACTTGCCCATTTTGTATGGAAATATATCCTCAAAAAATATTGCATTTATAGATTCTATAATAGTATTAACATGTATATCACATACTTCGGAATGAAAAACTAAGAATATATAAGCTGAACTATTAGATGCAAAACCAATAAAAACATAATCTATAGTTTTAGGCCCTCATTTTGTTCTCTTTGGCAATGAGACTTGTACTTTTGCCAAGCAACCCCACACTTTAAGCAATTTAAATGTTGGGGTTCTTCCTTTCCATAATTCATATGGTGATTCCTTTCTCGTTTTAGGTGGAATTCGATTCAAAATTTTATTTGCAGTAAGTAAAGCTTCACCCCACAAATTGTATGGAAGCCCAGAATTGTTCAGCATGGAATTGATCATGTCTTTAAAAGTACTATTTTTTTGTTCGGCAATACCGTTTTGTTGCGGTGTATAGGGGGTTGTTGTTTGATGAATTATGCCATGTGTGGAACAAAATTCAGCAAAGGCATGAGACTCATATTCTCCTCCCCTATAGGACCTTAAGACTTTAATCTTCTTGTTAACTTGATTCTCAATTTCTGCCTTATATGTCTTAAACATATCCAAGGTCTTATCTTTACTATGAAGTAAATAAACATAACAATACTTACTAAAATCATCTATCAATGTTACATAATAGTTTTTTCCACCATGAGTTGGATATGATCTAAAATCACACAAGTCACAATGAATTAAATCTAATAAATCATTGGATTTTTCATGCACTAATTTAAAGCTTTGACTTGCAAATTTCGAGTATGTACAAGTCTCACATTAACATTATCTAAATAATCAAGTTTGGGCAGCAAACCTAAATTATGCATTCTAAAAAGAGAATGAAAATTTACATGTTCTAGCCTAGAGTGCCATAAATTAGACGAATCAACAATATAAGCAGAAAAATTATTTATTTCGTTTATAGCATTAGCAAATACATTTAATTTGAATAATTCATCGGCAAGGTAACCTTTCCCTACAAACATTCCCCCTTTAGTTAATACAAACTTATTGGACTCAAAAACTGGTTTGAATCCCTTGTTACTAAGGATAGGACCAGAAACAAGATTTTTCCTTATATCGGGGACATGCAGCACATCAAGGAGGGTTAATTCCTTTCCAGAAGTGAATTTCATAACACATTTCCCTATTCTAGCCACAAAAGATGCAGACGCATTTCCCATGAACAACTACTCGGTCCCCCTGACTTTTTGGTACGAAGAGAACATATTTCTATCACCACATACATGGCGAGTTGCACCGGCATCTATCCACCAATTAGTGTGGCCAGATACAAGGTTGATTTCAGAAATCATTGCAACCAATGCATCCACATCATTTTCAATAAGGTTTGCACAGTTGTTGTCTTGATTTACAGGACTTTGATCCATTCGATGGCGACATTCTTGAGCCCTATGGCCTTACTTTCCACAAACCCAACAATTTCCCTTAATTTTCTTGAAGTCTTTGCTTTTTACACCAGGGACAAAGTTCTTTTCTTCTTAATTTTCTGGAATTTCGGCCTTTGCTTTGATGAACTTCCTTCAATAACATTTGCCTTGGTTTCCATACACGAAACCAGGCCCTTCTCATTCTTTCTATTATCTTCCTCAATTTTCAGCCTTACAATGAGATCCTCGAGGGTCATCTCCTTACGTTTGTGCTTGAGATAATTTTTGAACTCCTTCCAAGAAGGTGGCAATTTCTCTATAAAAGACGCCACTTGAAAAGACTCATTGATCACCATCCCTTCAACATGAATGTCATGGATGATTTTCTGGAGATTTTCAATTTGAGAGACAATGGACATGGAATCTACCATTTTGTAGTCCAAAAATTTGCGCACGACAAATTTCTTTGAACCGGCATCCTCAGTTTTATATTTTTTCTCAAGTGATTCCCAAAGTTCCTTGGTTGTTTTGCATACCACATAGACATCATATAACGAATCATTTAATGCATTGAGAATATAATTCCTGCAGAAGAAATTATTATGATTCCAGACATCTATAGCTATCAAAGTTTTTGCATAGAGTATATTATCTCCTTCCGTACTAGGCACAGTCTCACACATATCATTAGCCAGATTCAGAGTTGTCAAATAAAATAGCATTTTCTGCTGCCATCTTTTGAAGTCTCCTCCCTTAAATTTCTCAGGCTTTTCAGAATGAGATTTAGTTCCTGATTGTTCCATACTGTTTAAAGATTGTTGGAGAACAATTCAAAAACAAAAAATAACAGAAATATAGAACATGAAATACTTATACTTTATTACTAAAGTATATTTGTGATACAGAATGAAACGACTAAATAAATACAGAAAACAAAATAATACTAACTTGATTGAATCAAAGGTAGAGGCTAGCGCAATAGTTATGTCCTTCGAACAGTATTTCAGTCCCACTCTTGTGCTTGTGGTTCTACAACGTCTGCTCGACCACGCTAGATTATAGAATTCTAGCGAATTGTTTTGTGTGTTTACTCTCTGGAAATTTTGTACGGAAGGAAAATAGGAAGAAAAGATGATCCTACTTGGAAACTGTGATTGCAAATATATAGGTTGTTTCACACCTTTCAAATACCTGTTCAGCGTATTTAAAAATACACAACTCTTTCTAAGAGCCGTGTCTCTTAATCAAAATGTTTTTTTAATTAATAAATTAATTAAAAAGTTAATCCAAATTTAAAATTAATGAATCTGATTAATTTTAAATTTCAAGGCCCCAAGGCCCTTGTCTTGATTAATTAATATTAATTGTATTAGGCTATATTATACAAACCTAATCCACACAACCTTAAGGCCCAAGCCTTCAATCATTTTTCAAATGGTCCAAATCCTAACTACTAGTATATAAATAGGTATATATCCAATACATTAAAACTATTTTATTTATTTATTCTTTTATAATAAAAATTTAAATCGGCTAGGTGCCAGCACATTTTTTTAGGGTGGAGATGTATTTGGCCTATTACTATTCATTAGGGTATATTACTGTTCACTGAATGGATAAATGCGCTGTATGTTGACGCATTTGTGTTAGGGGTGGAACTGCTCTTACATTGACATTCAAGCCTTTCCTTCATTTTAACTATTTAGACTTTTATTAATCTTTGATCCTTTGCAACAACGTTCTTTGCGACAAATCTTTTTAGGAATGACCCTTGTAAGATTATTTGCAAAAATATTTCCAATTCATTGAGACATTAATTTGAAATTCTTTTTCTTGTAAAATAATGTATACAGAGATAGTAACATTAAAATATTTATTAATACAAATTTATTTTATACGTGTGTTCGTGTTTTCTTGACTGCAAAAATTTTTGTGTTTATACTATTTTAAAGGGTTAAAACGAGTACCGTTGGGTGACCTGAACCAAACCATTAGTTTAATGAGTTACTAACGGGTTCATCCGTTGTCAATCCGGACCCTTTAAGGCTCAAACTATAAAATTTAATTTTTTTTGTTGGAGAATAGGATCTTGCATCAGACATATGACGTAATAACACGATTGATATATGAGATTTTCCATCCTTAAGATTACCGAGACCTTTGAGTGGTGTTTCTGATGGACTATATTGAGCCAAAAGGTTTTAATGTTTCGTGATCGTGTATGATTTTGTCCAGCTCAGTTACTTTTTTTTTAGGAGAAACGATTCGTTTTCGAGAACATCCCGAATTTAATCCGGATGTTCCTTGAATCGAAAAGAATCTGAACCATGTAAAAACAAAACCATTCTAGCTAATATTTGTGCTACTGTATTAGCAGAACTTTGGGGCATGTGAGACTTGCGCAATATCAAAGGAGCAAAGCTACTGTTGCCGTCCGTAATAGGACTAAGCAGGGAAACATCAGGCTGGAGTGAATCCAAAACACAAACTAGACTAAGTTACTCACCTTCAACCAAAATGTTGGAAGAGCTATGCTCCACCGCCCACCGCCCACGCCAAACGGACACCTTTTCTTGTTGCCAAAAAGTCCACATGCACGGTCTGGGTGGGACATGTGAGGAAACCGTCGCACAGAAGGTCCAACGAAACCACCGGTCTTAGTTACTGAAATTTGGACTAAGGCCGTCTCCAACAGAATATAAGATACTAATATGCAGAAACCTATGAAATGTTGTTGTAAAGTGTAATTGAGCTAACAAAATTAAAGGAAATGCAACACAAAGAAATGATTGGTCTGGTTAATCCAAATATTATTACTTATTAGGGATGTTTCAATTGAGGATTGTGCTTATTGACTGCTTAATAAAACACCGTCTTTCTTCAAAAACCTAATTATGCAAAGAAGAAAAAAAGATTAGTAAAAAGTTCTAAAAAAATTCCCCAAAGTTCCCCACGCTATCAAATTATTGAGTTCACACTTTAATCCACGTGCATTTGCATCATCAATAATCTATTTTATTTTATTATCTTTTCTTTGAACTAAAGCACTGTATATGATGTCAAACCAAAACGTGCACACGTGATTCATTTCCTTTTAAATTGAAAGATGTGTTCCACATTTCTCTTGTAGTCCCTAGTCAATTCCTGCTCAGAAGACTTTGGCTAATTTATATTTAGTTTATTTTTTATTCCTTTTAATATTTGCGTTCTTGGAGTAAATTAGACAATTTAATTATACGCTCACTACAAGCACTGTTCCTATTCCGGCTACAATATCGAGGCAATTCAATCAAGTTTTTGGTAATTTAATCATGTTTTAAAATTGGACATTCTTTCCAATTGTACAAAGAACAAAAAGAAATTATGGGATATCGACATGTGCTTTATAGTTCTATTTGGAAAATGATGAATTCGGGGGACCATCTTGATTGTGACCTGGCAACTCCATGCATCTACCTGGTGAAGCTGATCTCATGCATGGCGTCGAATGCGAACACTGTGAATTCTAAAGGAGATGGTGTGTCCAAATTTATCTTTTCTGGTATGAAAGTCTGCCAAACAATGACTTTAGATATTTAGGTGAATGCATTTAGATTTTTTTTTAAATAAACTTAATGCGATCATTATGGTGGTTTATTTGTACGAGTCCGGATCCTCTTTGTGAGGATTACAGGGATTCGTGAATCATGTTCGTTTATCGTACTTTGTGCGGTTAGAAATCATTTTAAATATTTTTATTTAAAAATAAACATAAACAGTATTTGATAAAAAATGATCGCACAATGTACGATGAACACACACAATTCACGAATCTCCAAGATCCTCATCAAAAAAATCCGGAAAGGATTAACGTATTTGTACTTCTCTTTAATATGAGTAGGAAAATGGTGAGTTCAGTTCCTAAACATAGTTTTGTTTTTTATACTAGTGATATTCTAAATTGATTTATATTAAAAGGATATAGAGGATTGGACGCAAGTCATAATGAGTTTAAGATGAAGAACTTAATTATTAAAACAATCCTCCACTTACGATTCCTAATTATGCGTAGTTGAGTCATTTTGTTTGTTGATTTAATTAAACACCATAAAGTGAAAACCCTAATTCCTAACCCTAAACCTATTAAAGCAATTCAAAATCAAATAGTTAAATTAAAATATTAATCTTATTCTGAAACTAATTTTAAAGTTGGGTGAGAGAGAGAGAGAGGGGGAGAGAGGCTTAGGTGTATGAGAAATCGTGTCTTCACTTCCTAGTTTTGTACCTTTATTTATACTAATCACGATGAGCTTTCTAGCCTTACAAGTAATACAAAGCATATGAGCGTTTGATCTCCAAATCCTATAGAGATTCTACTTTAAGTTTACACAATTATATTTCTAATTAATAAAATTATTTACAACAATCCCCTTGAATGTGTACAACTTAAGAAGTAGTTGCATCGAGTATTCATAATTAGGAGATGGCAGTTGTCATCATCAGTTATTAGCACGTACAAATCGTTGCTAACATGAGTCTCTTGGTAGGGCACATATCAAAATAAAATTTTCACAAAATCTTGCTATAGTAAACCTAGTGGGACAAACTCATGGTCTAAGGAGAAAAAGTGAGTTAATGTAGAATGTCAATGTTCCACATCTTCAAAATGATTATTAACATACACAAGGGCATGGTGAACCCAAAGTAGGTGCCTTATCAAAATCTCGTCAGGTTAGCAAAAATCCAGTAGGAAAAATGCTTCTAATCATAGGGATAGTAGTACATTAAGGTCATGTGAGTATTCATTAGGATACTCTCCCTAAGTTTGACAAAACTCCTCAAGAAAACTATGGACGCAAATTTGAAAGTTTAAGATCCAATTCCATGGACAAGCTTCTGAAGGTAGACTTTGCAGTGAATTCGTGAATAGGTCGGCAAGATTGTCCTGTAATCGGATCTACTTGATTACGACTTTTTATGCTCTTGTTGATGATGAGTGAAGAAAAACTTCAAGGCAATATGTTTGGTATTGTCACCTTTGATGTTTCCTTTAGGTAACTAATCAATACACGCAACATTGTCTTCATAAATCATTGTTGGAACATAAACGATGGAAGAAAAACTACATACGGTTCTTATGGGGTCAATCATGCCCCCTTAACCTTCACACGATGCTTCGTGTAGGGCTAGAATCTCAAAGCTACTCGAACATGTAGTAACCAAGTCCTGTTTGGTTGATCTCCAAGATCTTAGTTACATTTATCATTTGCCACATCATGTATAAGTGCCGTAAAAAAAAAAAAAGAGTTTTCCATAGTATTAGTCTTAGTATTATTGATAAATTGTGTGCAAGCCTCAATTTAGGTTTAGCATAGCTTCTCTCAAAATTTTAAGACCGCCCTTGGTATGAGTAGGGGTGGGCAGGGTTTGGCGCGGTTCGGTTTTGGGTAAAAGAGAAACTAAAATTTATTGTGGTTCGGTTCAGTTTGACAATTGGAACTGAAGTGAAAACAAACCATTTAGTTTTGGTTTGGGCCTAACTTACAGGCCTATTAAAATTTGGGCTTAAGTTATAAGCTATTTTCGGTTTGGGGTTTCCAATTTTTTTTTAGGGTTAATCTCAGTTTACTATCCTTAAGTTTCGTGGTTTTCAACATTTAGTACATGATGTTATTTTCGTCCTAAAGTCATACCTAAAGTGTTAATTTTAGGACAGTCTCATACATCTGTTAAGTTTTTCGTTAGAACTTCTGTTAACTAATGACGTGGCGCCCACGTGGACAATTACTGGGCGCCACGTGTCAATATAGGCCCACTTCAATAT